TATCAGTCCTCCTCTATGGAAGAGTTGTAACCTAGAAAAGGTTACTGAATGAGGAATAACCAAAACGGAGGTTAGAAATGAAAATGGTAATCTTTATAACATCAACAAAATACAATACTCGCCAGCGCCGTGAAGTAGGTAAACTACAGCTATTGGTGAACTACTTAGACAACATTATTACTCCCACATACAATAGCGTCCAACGTATTTATGAGGATTGGGACATACATATTAGTGTTCATAGGTATGATATATAACACTATCTATCTATCTATCTATTGGAGTCTTTTCATTATCTATGTATCTATCTGTTGTAAGCGAGGAAGAGTTACTGAATGAGAAATAAGAAAATAGGACAAGGCACAAGGCCAAAATAATGGCGCACTCAGTGTAGGCCGTATTGCGAGAAACTGGCTTGTAGCTTTTTTTTATCATTTCACCCCAAGTAAGGCAATAAAGCTACTAACACGCAAGTGTTTACTAGGTGTGAGAGAATATGAGAAAAAAATATTATAGAGAGAGAACAACAAAAGAACAGGAATAAGAAAGACAGAAAATAACGATTGACATTGCATCTGAATTTTTGAAGATCAGAATTGTCTAGAAAGGAAGAAGCCGGAAGAGAGTTTCACAAGTGAAAAGTGAGATAGAAGAAACTGTTAGCATAGAACTTACGGTTATATTTGGTCATTTCAACTGTAAAATGATGCGACATTTCCTCTAATCTAGTACTACGCTTAAATTCATAAAATGTTGGTACCAAAGAGGAAATCTCACTAAAACAATTTCCATGAAAATATTTATAGAAAAGACAGAGGTAGGAAAGTGACTGAAGTAGAGATTCGTTATCGCTCTACAGCATGTACCCTCACTTAGGAGCATAGTATAATACTAGCCGACAGATTCGCGGTGGATATTACCAATACATTTCTCCTTGTTTTCGTTCAGTTTTTTTTTCTACTTATTTATTTATATATTCACTTATTCATTCATTTGTTTATTGTTCTTGACTTTCCGTCTCACGTAGGCAATAACAAAAGATCTCTGAATCAGAAAACTACTCAGGTGTTGACTGTATTGTTGGTCAGAAACCAACGAAGTCTATTTGTATCTGTAACAGCAATGGGCAGATTGTTCCCAGGATGAAGCAATCGATTATCCGGGAAAAGAATCGGACCCTTTGTGCGACCAACACTAAACAATTACGTTGTCTTTTGATGCTTTAATTAAAATATGCCTTCCATTCAGATAGATAAGAAAATCTGTGGAGTTAGGTTCACACAGGTAATTTTGAAATGCGGACAAATAAATTGTGTGTGTGTGTGTGTGTAAAAAAAGCTTTCTCAATAAAATCATTTTCGCAACCAGAAAAGTATTTTTAATATTAGCCGTCATGGTAATAATAATATTAGTCGTAATTGTAATAGTAATATTAGACAAAATGGTATTTTTAATATTAGCTTTAATGGTATTGTTAATTATTATTCGTCGAAATGGTAATGTTAATATTAACCATAATGATATTGTTAATATTAGCCGTAATGGTAATAATAATATTAGATTTAATGGTATTGTTAATGTTAGCCGTAATGGTAATACTAGCCGTAATGGTAATAGTAATATTAGCTGTAATAGTATTGTTAATATTAGTCGTAATGGCAATGCTGTAATGGTATTGTTAATATTACTCGTATTGGTAATATAAACCGTAATAGCTTTGTTAATAATAGCCGTAATGATAATTGTAATATTAGCCATAATGGTATTGTTAATAATAGCCGTAATGATAATAGTAATATTAGCCATAATGGTAATAGTAATTTTAACCTTCATGGTATTGTTAATATTGGCCGTAATGGTAATTGTATCAGTAGTCGTAATACTATTGGTAATATTAGCCGTAATGATAATGGTAATATTAGCCGTTTCCTTATAAGTAAACATTCATCGAGAATCCAGTAGCACAATCGGTTGGAATTTAAAAAATCTTTCTTTTAGAACGGTTTTCCAGGAAAATAGGTTTCTCATGTCCAGTAGGTGTTATCAATATTTCCAATATTTAAGGGAGTTTCCATCCTAACCTTTTGTTTCAAGTAACGTGGAATGTCAACATCTTGATTATGTTCTTATTTTCTCTTAGTGTGTTTTAAAAAAATTGGTCAATAAGATCGTTTTCGCATCCTGAAAAGTATTCTTAATGGTAATGGTAATATTAGCCGTAATGGTAATTGTAATATTAGGCGTTTCCTTATAAGGAAACATTCGGTATTCATTGACCGAGTATACAGTGTTTCAATTTATAAAAACTTTCTTTTTCAGGAAAATACGTTTTTCAAGTCCAGTAGCTTTCCTATGTTGATGGGAGTTTCCTTCCTAACCTTTTACTTGAAGTAGTGTGGAATGTCAACATATCGATCATGTCCTTATTTTCTCTTCGAGTTACATGGGATATTCATTTTAGTCGTTGCTATTGTTGAAAGTTCTCAAGTCATGGAGTTCATGTTATTGGGTACAGTTCTTCGTTTGTGATTCTGTAACACTAATCACGATAAAAGAACTGAGACATACAAGTTTCATTCGCTCAAAGCCACTTTAAACCATTGATCTGAGAAAGCGATTGTATGCAGCTGACAGTTTAGATATTTCTGAACGGGTTTGGTGTCATGCATGATAGCCATAGGAAAGTCTCGATTTAACGAGTTTTTCATGACTCGAGTTTTCAAGTTAATATTTAGGTTTTACGTGTATCTATGTTTTATAGATTACGCAAAGGCATTCGACAAAGTACGCCACAGGGACCTGCTAGAACTGCTCAGCCTTTGATATATTCGGGAAAGATATCAGAATAATCAAGAACCTATACTGGCAGAAAATGGCATGCATTCCCATCGAGAGTGAGCTCGGCGAATATACAAAAATAGAAAGAAGTGTAAGGCAAGGATGTGTCATCTCACCGGACTTATTCAACCTATACAGCGAGGCAATTCTGAGGGAACTGGAGATCATACCAGGATACATCATTGGCGGCCACAACCTTACCAACATAAGATGACACTATACTGATAGCAGACACGGAAATGAAACTACAAAACCTCCTATAGAAGGTAGCGAGGGAGAGCGAGAACAAAGGAATAAGCATAAACTACAAGACAGAATGTATCGTCACCAGTAAAAGGATGAGCCCAAAATGCGATTTGCAGATCAGGGACACTAAAATCAAACATGCGTGGAAGTTTATGTATCTGGGAAGTGTTCTCGCGGAGGACGCTGATATCTGAATACGGATTGGGATGGCCAAGGATACATTCCAGAAGCTGAACAGAGTACTGCAAGACAGGAGGATTTCTATGGAAACAAAGAAAAGAGTACTGAGCTGCTACGTGACATCTATTCTCCTATACGGCAGCGAATGTTGGACGGTATCCTCAAGGATGAAGAGGCTCGAGGCGGCGGCGATGTGGTTCTACAGAAGGATGCTGAGGATATCATGGACCGAGCATGTGAGCAACAATGAGGTCATGGAGAGGATGCGAACAAGGAGGAATCTTATGCTTAACATAAGGAAGAGGCAGATGAAATTTCTTGGACACGTGATGAGAAAGGAGGGCCTGGAGAATCTGATACTCACGGGTTGAATAGAGGGAAACAGAGACAGGGGAAAACAGCGCAGGACATGCGTGTCGGGGCTTGTGCAGGTGAATGGTGAAGCGTGGTCTGGGAGAGCTGACAGAAACTCAAAACCTGTTGAGAGCCACAAAGTATAGGAGGAAGTGGAGGGCCATGATCGCATACGCCCTGAAAGGTCAGAGCACATAAAAAGAATGAAAAAGGAAATCGCTAGGCGATACTATCTCTAACGTAGCCTGTACTATATTCAATTTGCTCACTTCCTTTGCTAAATTTGTTATAACTGATCCATACACCGATATATTTGAAGTATTTGGTATTTGCTAAACCAACATCCTCAATTTTTATGATGGACTAGCAGTAGAGCCCGGCGTTGCCCGGGGATGTAACAGTAAGAGATAGATCAAGTATCGACCATCATAAAGACTGAAAAATAAAATTGACAAAGATTATTGTTTAAGGTTGACGGACACGCATGTCTTAATTAGTTTTTTTTTTTTTTACGAATTGGTCAAACCCAAACTCAAACAAAAACATTGTTTTCAATCGTTATGAGTCTACCGATTGAATAGAATTTTATTATAAACAATTGTCTTGTAAATGGAATTTTTAAAGCATTCTGAATGTAAAAATAAAGAAAAAAGTGTGCAAGACAATAAGAAACACTACCTGCCAAAAAAAAATGAAGTCTTGTTGAAATCGGTTGAAAAATGTAGGAAATCCGATCCCATATATAAACGAACACACACACACACACACACACACACACACACACACACACACAACCTGGGTTTTATAATAAGTATAACTCGATATGAGTTGTCCCCCTTTCATTCTGGCGACAGAATCGTGTTTTATCGTGTTTTCAAATTGATTTCATGCAAAAACAATTGTGTTTTTCCCATTTTTGGCGCTGTCAGAACCACCGCAAGGTAATTTTACGCAGTCCTGTGAAGTTTTGTTGAAATCGGTTGAAAAATGTAGGAAATCCGATCCAATATATAAACGTACAGACACACACACACAATCTGCGTTTTATAATAAGTAAGATTCAGTGTAGGTGCTCTCATTGCTTTTATTCCAATTCCAGATCATAGTTCCTGTTTCGAAAAGGTTTATCAGCAGTCCTATTTCTTGGAACACTTAGTAGAGCATGTTGATTTTTGTTTAAGATTATTCTTATCCCAACAATAATTACCTATGTCATGATTATAAAGTTTCTTCATTAATCCGTTGTTCCACTTCGACGTGGCGTAATGGTTAGCAAGCTTGCTTCGCTAGATCAATTACAACTGAAAAGTGAGTTCGATCTCATCTGGATGCTCCACGTTTTCGGCCGTGTGCCACATCTAAGCTACGCTTAGAAAATCATTTAGCGTGTAAATCCCTCCTTGGAGGTGTATACACATTCGGATACTTGCCGGTCACAGAGATCCGTCCCTGTGCTGGTAGTATCACAGGTATGACTGGCTTAGACCAGCTTGGACAAGCTAAAACCAGCGGCCCGAATTAATAGGCTTATATTTTTAAGGCGACCATTATTCGAAATCGTGGCATTTTCCTATGCATATTCAACATCTGGTACCGGCTTTGAATTCATATTTTTTAGTAACGAGTAGGATTTTTAGACACACATGCATACGCGTGAGAGAGGCAGAGTTTTAGATATATGCTTGGCTGTTATTCTTAATATTTGGCTTATTACTTGAAAATTAAGCCCACAATAATGTTATAAACGCACTCTAAGTACAAGTGTAAGACAACATCTAATATCAAAACCTTTAACAGCAGTTAGTTACTCAATCCTATTAATCACTGGCACAGCTGGTCAAAAATCAACAGGCATATAATCTCACTTGTTTAGTATCACTAGCCAACTAAAACCTACTTTCGCCATTAAAGATTTCTTGGAAGAACATAATCTTTGTCAATTTTAAGAGTCAAGGTTTTGTTTGGTTTGGTTTCGACATAGATTGGAGATTGAAAACCTTGTTCATACAATCTTCTAACCACACTCCGCTTTGGCACATGACTTTTTGACAACTTTAAATTGCTGACCTAGATCAGTGAACGTTTGCTTGTTTTCTTTCAAATTAATTCATCTGTCAGTCTGGTGGATTTGTGACTCTTGCTATAGTTGCCTCTCTTTCAAATCTTCGGCCAATTCACCTCAAAGCTGATTAAGAAACAGGAGATATTCTCGGGTTGAAGATCTGATAGATCCCAAAGCTGGTGCTAGCATTGAATTTGATACTTCTTGCTGGGGCTTTTCTGGTTGAAATACAAAGACCAATAAGACCAATGTTGTCCTTTTTGACTCCAGGACGAACCGGACCTGTAATACTCTTTTTTGAATTTAGTGGGATTTTGTTCCATGGGATTTTGTTCCGTGAGGCTAATATTCCATATTAAATAACCCAAACGCCGTTGAAATGTCATCACTTGTTCAAATAATTAACTTATCTTAAATTCGTTTTAGCAATTATCACTAATCTATCTATCTATCTATCTATCTATCTATCTATCTATCTATCTATCCCCTTTTAATGTCTAACTTTTGTCTAGAAATTAATAGTTGATAATTTTTAAATGTCTCTAGCTCGATAGACTTAAATTAATATAACAAAATTTGATTTACTGATAGATAGATAGATAGATAGATAGATAGATAGATAGATAGATAGACAGAAAATGACAGATATATAGAGATAGATATCAATAGAACGAAACAGATAGATAGATAGATAGATAGATAGATAGATAGATAGATAGATAGATAGATAGATAGAATAAGGTTTTCAATTTCGAATATATGTTAAAACCAAGCCAAAAAACAACAAAGCCTTGACCCTTAAAATTGACAAAGATTATCTATCTATTTATATGCCACTTTCTCTACATATCTCACTCACTCTATCTATCTATCTATCTATCTATCTATCTATCAGAAAGTCAAAGTGTATTATATAAATTTCAGACTGTCTTTGTCTATCAATTCTGTAGATAGATAGATAGATAGATAGATAGATAGATAGATAGATAGATAGATAGATAGATAGATAGATAGATAGATAGATAGATAGATATGAACAGACTGAAATAGATAGATAAATACGAACAGACTGAGATGGATAGATAGATAGATAGATACGCTATTGCCATTGAAATCAACACTACATAGTGTCTGTCCTTTTTAGGATGTGCGTGTGGTGTGATGAATAGTGGTTGGGAATCAGAAATCAGACGAGATCGAATTCCAGTCGGGTTTCTTACTTACAAATACCCTTGGGAAAGGTATAATTCTATCTCTTGGCCCAGCTATTGGTTAGTAGTTGAAAAAATAATTATTATTCTCCAAGAATTCTTAATGCGATATTCACTCACAAAAAATTATTCCTACAATCCAATATATACTTTGGCTTTAAATAATCCACAAAGGGTTGATACACAGCCCCCCCCCAATAAACCAATTAATCAATTCAGCGGTCAGTTTCATGCTTCATTGTATGAAATCGACAATCCCCATGTATTGTTTATTTTCACAGTCCATACTCTCTGTATCTATAAATACTCTGTTTCTGATATTGAGCAAATTTTAAACTATATATAATCTGATGATCTCTTAAGGCAAGGGTCGGTAACACCCGGCCCCCGGTCCACATCCAGCCCACGAAAGATTTTTTTGTCCGGCACGCCAGCTTAACACCTGGATACTAATTATCTCATTCATTTGCGGAGCAAGTGGCAGAAAAATATCAATTGCAGTTAAACGACTTACAGTGAGACGAATTTTTAAAATCAAAATTTAATTCCGAGTCCATTGATGACTTCTCCAAGAAATATATTTTGCCAACCGGAATTTTAGTCTATCGAATAAGGCAAGAATTATGGTAACATTATTTGGAAATACATATTTTGGTGAAAATTTAAAAAAAAAAAAAAAGTAATATACTAAACGTCGTTTAAGAACAAGGTTAGGTGATGACCACCTGGATGATGTTTTTCTTCTGTCATCGACAAATATTTCACGTGATATGAAGAACTTATCCAACTATAAGCAGCAAAAAGCGCCTCGTTAAATAATTCACCATTTCTAACTCTATTTCATTTGTCGTAAGGAATTTGCATTTTTTTATTGTGTTAGTTGTTATCCTGTTATTCCTGCAGTAAAATAAGGAAGCTTGTTTAAATAATATTACATTAATTTCATTATTTTTTCTTTAAACCTCCAGACTAAAGCAGCTTTCTGGACGCAGCGGTTTGAGATCGATACAGTTTATTATAGTAAATTTGATAGTGACTTCATAACTTTCTGGTCCGCTCTCTACAAAAGTTGCCGACTCCTGTCTTAAGACGTGAAACTTAAACTGTCAATCATCACCTAGTACTGATATCTGTATTTACACTATATAATAAATATATATATATATATATATATATATATATATATATATTTAAAAATATGATTCCAACACGCTACATAAGAGTTCTCATCTTTGGATTATTTATCTAACGAGTTCTTTCCTATTTTCTATATATTTTCACATATATATATATATATATATATATATATATATATATATATATATATATATATATATACAAAAGAAAGAACAGTAAGATATATAATCCTGTGTTCTTATAGATATTTTTATTTTACAAAATAGTGCTCAATGTAAATTTACAGAGCATTAATATTATAAATTAATTGATTTAAAATATGTTTTTTTTCGCCATATTTTAAAGCAATTAATTTATAATATATATATATATATATATATATATATATATAGGGGAGGAACTCCTATAAATCTCAAGATTCTTAACAAAATTGACAGAAGATTCTGTGATATAATCGACTTCAGTTACATCCACACTGCCGTGACGGGACTTCCCTCTGTCTTTTCTAAAATATATTTCTATGCCAATTGTTCTGAGCTTTCAGCCTTGGTGCGTCGACTGCATAAATTTAAGCACACTACTAGCTTGGCAACTAGGTCTCACCGTTTTACTGTTGAAATAGGTAGATTTAAGCCTATATTCTATTCTAATAGCTTCTTTTCTCGCACTTCCCACCGGTGGAACTCTCTTCAGGCTGCTTGATTCTCGCCAGTCTACAATCTTCAAAACTTGAAATACAGTATCAATTACCGTCTTCCGCTTACCTGAATTCTGGTTCGTTTAATGTCATTTCTCCTCACTAAAGTCTTCTCATTCTCTTTCATTAAAACTTTATAAACACACACACACACACACAAATACACACACACACAAATTTTATATATATATATATATATATATAACTAAAACTATATATATTTTCACTAAACCTTACACACACACACACACATATATATATATATATATATATATATATATATATATATATAATATATGTATGTATATAAATATAAATATACATATGCAATTTTTATATATATATATATATATATTATATATATGCGTTGTACTTTTTGGAAAACACTCAATATCAGTGATAAAGCTAACATTTTGTCTAACAGTTTGTCTGACGATCGCAAATAGCGTGAAACCCAGGGTGACAAACTCACATCAATCCAACTATATCTATATATATATATATATATATATATATATATATATATATATATATATATATATATATATATAGATATATATATATAGTTGGAGATATATATATATATATCAAACTATATATATATATATATATCCAACTATATATATATATAAATTATATATATATATATATATAATTATATATATATATATATATATATATATATATATATATATATATATATATATTTGTGGATATATATATATATATATATATATATATATATATATATAGTTGGATATATATATATATATATATATAGTTGGAGATATATATATATATATCCATATATATATATAATGAATCCGAAAATTCACTGTCGATAACTCTAAACCGGTGGATTTTATCATATTCATCAAGCCAGATTCGAATGGAGCATGTACAATTACATATAAATGTAGGTATTCTCGAAATTCTTAATGCGAACTTAGTGCGGGTGTTACACTGCAAATTAACCAAATTTCATTAAAAAGTGCTCCTTCTATGGCAAAAATTTAATTCCTTTTTCATTCACCCTCGTATTTATGTATATGATACGAATCAGAAATTAGAAAAAATGGCCGTCAAATATTAGTCTTAATATCTCTTAAAAACACCTTGTAGTGTACTTCAGCGCTTACATAACGTAATGCGTACACATTTCTGGTATCATCTTTGCTATTCCAGTGTTTGTTGCCGTCTGTTCTAAGCCGGGATGACGATTATCAGCCGCACGCGATCGCTCAGCAGGTGGACAGATACGGTCTTTGTAAATAATTTTCGCTACTTTATAGGAAAGCCGAAAGATGGCGAAGAGACATTCGGCACGGATGGGACTTGTCTCAGGTTTCGGCCCTGCGGAAATTAATCTGGCACAAATATAATAATTCTTCTTCTGACTGAAATACAGTCCTGCCAAAACAGAGCTGTAAGATGGAAATTACAAAAATATTAGCCGATATAATTTCAGTGAGAGCTTTGTACAATTCTCTGGCGATAAGGTTCTTAATTGTTTTTATTATTTGCTTGGAAGTGTAGCGATGAAAGTAAACTTTTCATGTATGTGAGGAGAAAATGTTATCCTTTATTAGCAATAAACAAAACAACAAAAATGCGTGTATTACTATTTAAATTTAAGACCTTTTCATTTTTAATATACAATATATATCAACTTTTCATTCACACATACGTTTTATTTCTTTCCTTCGAAGCTTTTTTTGTTGTTGATATGTCTCGGAAAGGGATATATTTGAACGAAGTAGCTAAATGGTTTTGGTTACTATAACCAAATAGAATACGGTAGCAATAATCGACTGATACACGTCGTAGTCACAGGTAAGAAGTGTAGATAAATGGCGTAGTCCAATGGGCGTCGTTAAAGACTTAGATCTGAGACTAAAGGCTCTGACTGTCATACCTACACGTCCGTCGGTATGTATGACGGACACCAGCCAATCATATTCCAGTGAGGAGGAACGCAGGTGTACGCATATTCCATTATATCAGTTGTTGCTTTTATTCTTTTAAGTTTAATTTGCTTCTTCTTTCATTCGTTCTTCTTTCTTTTCCTTCATTTTTCTTTTTGCGTTCTCTCGTTTTTCTTTATCTAGATTTGTTTCTTTCTTTCATTTATTCCTCTTTCGTTCATCTTTTTCATCCTTCGTCATTTTCAAAGTTCTGTCTGCCTTCATCCATTTCTTTCTATTTTATATCATTCACTTCGTTTTTTTTCCCGTCTTTCGTTCCTTCTCTCGATACTTTCTTTCTCAGAAGCTTATTCTTCCCTTCTTCCTTCCTTTTTTCTTCTTGTTTTGCTTCTTTATTCAATCTTTTATTTCTTAATCCCTATAAAATTTTATTCCCGTTTTCTGTCTTCTTCCATTCTGCCATATTTCTTTTTATTCTTCCATTGTTTATTTATCTTTTTTCTTCTGCGTTTTTCCCATTCAGT